GTTTTTTTATAATTGCAACACAAAATAAAACATTTACAGGACAAAAGGACATAACATAGCAAATGAGACAGACATTAATAAAGGGGACAAAGGGATTATTAAATTAAGTTAGAATTGTGTGTGTAAAAGTGTGGAGTGTGGGTGCATCCAACTCCTCAAACTGATATTCAGTACTTACTGAAAATAATAATAATAAAAAATTAAGAAATAGTAAAGGAAAGAAGACAGTTGATAGAAAATGGATTGCAAGTAATGAAATAAAAAAAAACTAATACAATATATACTTTTTCCACACACACACACTACTGGAACAAGACATCCATGGACAAGAGAGGAGAACAGGGAACTATTGGAATGCTACTATACAAGTAACACCAGTGAGAGGGGCTACATACGAAGGATGTGGGACCTATGGATACTTCGAAACCCAACATCTACACTAACATCAAACCAACTAGTAGCTCAGTGCTATAACATCCACAAGAAGCACCTCCTATCACAACTAGAGATTGACGAGGTACAACACGAATGCTCCAGCAAAGGGGAGCCAGGATGACAGGTCAGGGGACAGATATCATCATCACCCCCACAATTGGAGATTGGGTACCAAGCCCCAATAACAGGCCCAGATGAGCCTGATTCAAGGGCTGCTGACCTGAGACTGAAGATCATGAGCAAGATGGACACCTGGAACTCCTGTGGCTGGGTACCAAGACTAAGTGAAGTGCCTTCTGAAAGTCTACTAGATGATGTGAACGCAGCCCTAAGAACAATCCCCACTACGATCATCACTGAGACCAACAAGCTCATATACACCACAGCAACCGTGATCCTTGAGATGCTTGGCTACAAGTTCAACAAAGGCCATAAGGAGCAGTATCCTCAATGGAGAATGAGATTGGAGACCAAGATCAAGGCATCAAGGAGAGAAGTTAGACAGCTATCAGAATTGCAGAAAGGCGTGATGAAGAAAGGGGTACCTAAGAAATACAACTCACTGTCCTTACCTGAGGCCTTAGAGACTGCCAAGAAAAGGCTCACAGCCCTGGCCACATGGCTGAAGAGGTACACCAGAGAAGTTGAAGCTAGGAGAATAAACCGAATGTTCTCCACTGAGCCATCCAAGGTGTATTCTCAGTGGCAGGGGGGTAAGATGGGAGCAGACATCTCAAGGT